AAAAAAAACGTAACAGTTTATTAGAAAAATCATATTTATTTATTTTTAAATTTTTAACTATCACACTGTATCAAAATTTAGAAACTAAACAGATGTCAGCTTTACTTTTATTATTTAAATAACTTAATTAATATTTTACTATAATGCTTTAATTTAAAACAATTTCTTAAATAGATTTCATTACTTATTTCACATATTTAAGGGTCTGTTTGGTTCATTAAAACATAAATGACTACACAACATAAAATTATTTATAATTCGTTTCATTTTTGAAATTGGCACGAAATAACATAAGACAAGTAAACGTAAACTATTTTAATTCATTAAGTTAGATGAAAACTTTTTATCTTATTTATAATAAAATGAAAAATCAAAATTATTCATCTTAATCTCGTGTAGTATAGATGCAGTATAAAAATAGGAAATTATTGCAAAGTTGAGGTTGAAATAAGAATGGCAATGTCTTGTTTGGGAGGCAGAATCTTATGTCTTGTGAGGAGCTCTTAGTATGTTTTGGTGCAACATGAATTTCTGTCTGACACAGTGAGTTTGAACTTTTATTGTTTTGGTTTGTACGAAATCAGATACAGAAGGAAGTGACAACAAGGAATGTCTGCGATGGCTGGAGGAACAACCGAGCAGAAGCGTGGTGTTTCTGTGTTTCGGAAGCAGAGGATCGTTCTCGGTGTCACAGTTGAAAGAGATAGCGAAAGGGTTAGAGAAGAGTGGAAAGAGATTCTTATGGGTAGTGAAGAGACCATTAGAAGAGGAGGGAGCAAAGCATGATGAGGACGCAACAAAACGGGGAGATCAGTTCGACTTGAATCCAGTGTTGCCAGACGGGTTTCTGGAGAGGACCAAGGATCGAGGCATGGTGGTCAAGGCCTGGGCCCCGCAAGTGGAGGTGCTGAGTCGTGAATCGGTGGGGGGGTTTGTGAGTCATTGCGGGTGGAACTCGGTGTTGGAAGGAGTGGTGGCGGGGGTGCCGATGGTTGCATGGCCACTGTACGCAGAGCAGCACGTGAACAGGGAGGTGATGGTGGGAGAGATGAAGGTGGCTGTTGGCGTGAATCAGAGGGTAGAAGATGGGTTTGTGAGTGCAGAGGAAGTAGAGAAGAGAGTGAGGGAAGTGATGGAGACAAAAGAGATCAGAGAGAGAAGCTTCAAGCTCAAACAAATGGCTATGGCTGCTGTTGCACAATTTGGATCTTCCACAACGGCACTTGCAAACTTACTTCATTCGTGGATTTCATTCTAGCATCATATCTTCCATAATGGAGATCCAATGAACAAGGAAGTTTTTTTTTCTTTAATTTTTAATTAAAATTCGTAGTAAATTATGAAACACGAGCTCAACTATCTATTAAAATAATTGGCTCCATAAATTTTATGTTTGACCAATCTTATATCTGGTTTATGATGTTAGAACATGAACGTTAAAAGACATTAAAAAACAGGAAGATTGCTTTCTTTTAATAAAAATATGAGTGGGTAGCAGGGATGGCAACGCGGGTCGGGCATGGGTAATACTTACCCGTAACCCGGCCTGGTGGTAGGCCACTCAGTTTAGTGGTCGGTCGGTCGACTGGATGGTCGGCTTGGTGGGTGGTCAACTACCAGATCGAGTGGCCGACCATCAGATCGAGTGACCGACCATCAGACCGACCACTAGGGTGTCAGCATGCCACGTGAGCATGCTAACGTAATTAAAAATTACACTGTCAGCATGCCACGTCACACCCTCCTTAACGGCGTTTGATCAATTTGACGGAAAGCCTTTATTTGATTCAATTTTACAAAAATAAGGACCCAATTGAGACGCCGAAAAAGAAAAGGACATATTTGAGATTCTGGGCGAAAATAGGAACCTAGAGAGACATTAAACCTTTCTTGAATGTTCTTTGCGCTATGGATTTCATCTATTATCTTGTGATGGTATCAGATCTCTTCTTTTGAAGAGCTCTAATACGCAGCTCTGCTTACTCTTCTCCCTTTCTCATGGCTCTTTCTTTCTTATTCTTGCTTCAGTCATGGAAGAAGACAACTTTGTCCACAATTATCTATACCTTCATCCCACCGAGAATTCAGCTGTTGCTTTTGTTTCACCAGTTCTCGATGATACAAATTATCACTCTTGGAGTCACTCCGTGTTAACTTCTCTTAGAGCCTAAAGCAAGATAGAATTTGTGCTTGGCAATGTCTGTCCACCTGAAAAGGACATGCCAATACATGCCGTTTGGAATCATGGAAACAACATGGTTGTCTCAGATCGTTCACTCTATTTCCACATCCATTAGACAAAGCCCCATATGGATGAACAAAGCATTGGAGATCTAGAATGACCTAAAGAATAGATTTTCTCAAGGAAGTCTCTCTTGCATTTCTAGCCTTTAACTTGACATTGCTACTCTACATCAAGGTGACCTTACCATTTCTGAGTATTTCATTAAACTTCGCATTCTTTGGGATGAGATAAAAAATTTCTGCCCAAAACCTCTTTGTATCTGTAAACCTAATTGTGGTTGTCAAGTCTTGACTGTTGTGAAACAAAGAAAGCAATAAGACCAAGTTACGATATTTTTACGAGGATTAAATGATCAATTTACTAATGTTACCTTGCATGTGCTTCTCTTGGACCCTATTCCAAACATTACCAAGGTTTTCTCATTGGTGGCATAACAAGAAAGACAATTGTCTAGTGGAGATTTGATTATTGCGGCTAAGACTCAGGATACTGGTACTGCCACCACTTGCACCTCTTTCACTACTTGTAGTTATTATGGAAAATATGGGCACAATGAAGTTGTTTGCTACCGCAAGAATGACTTCCCTAATCAAGATAAAGGCTTCAAAAGCACACCGACTGACAAAAAACATTGCACTCATTGCAACAAAAACGGTCATACAATGGGGGTTCTATAAGAAGCACAATTATCCTCTAAGGCATAAGTTCTATAATAAACCTACCTAGATTCACCATACCTCTATCCAATAAGAGAATGGGAATGCCAAAGATAACAATTCTAATAGTGTTGATCACATACGCCTCACACCACAATAATTTCAAGTTCTTGTAGAGCTCTTCAAAGGCCACAATCTGAATGATGCTTCCACTTCTGCTATAATTTACCAGATTGGATATGCTTCGACAAACCAACCTCTTTTAGGTAATATCTTACCTACTCTTACTTCCAAATACCCTAAAACCAAAATGGATCCTTGATTCTGGAGCAACATACCATATAAGTATTGCTCTACGAAACTTTTCATCCTATAAAAGAATCAAACCTATTCAAATTGCTTTACCTAATGGTACTATTGTTTACTCTGAGTATTCTGGCACTGATATTCTTAACAATAAGATCCAACTCTCAAATGTCCTTTATGTTTCACAATTCTCTTTTAATCTTATCTACATATCTCAATTGAACCATGAACTAACTTTTTCCTTTCATGGTTGTACTATACAAGACATTCAAACCAAAGAGAAGATTTCTATAACTAAACTCATTGGTGGCTAGTACATCTTAGATTCTTTTTTGAACATACTTACTTTTATTGCAAATTTTGCCAATGTTGTAAACAATACTAGCCTATGGCCTCTTAGATTAGAACATCCTTCCGATATTATATTGAATAGTTTGAAACTCAAATACTCATTCATTGTTCATAATCCCACATACATATGTGATGCTTTCCGTCGTGCTAAACAAAGAAAGTTAACTTTCTCTAATAATACTTCTAAAACCATGCAAATCTTTGATCTTATTCACATTGATATATGGGTCCCTATAATATTCTTTCCATGCGTGGTTTCAAATATTTTCTCACCATTATGGATGATTTTTCTTGTTATACTTGCCTAATACCAATGACTGACAAATCTGTTGTTAAAATATTTATCACTGATTTTATAACAAGCATAGAAAACCAGTTTTCTACCACTATCAAAACCATCCACACTGATAATGGCATTGAATTTGCTATGCATAGTTTTTTCTCCCTTATTAACCATCAAACCACATGTAATGAAACCCCTCATCAAAATGACATATTGAGTGTAAACACCAACATTTGTTAAATGTCACTTGGTCCCTCTTGTTTCAAGCTAATTTGCCTACTATTTTTTAGTGCTTTGCTGCTGAACATGCTACTTTACTAATCAATTGCATGCCTACACCGTTACTTGATGATGCTACTCCATATGAAAAAGTATATGGGAAATTGTATGATATTTCTACTCTGCGTGTTTTTGGCTATTTATGCTATATTAGCACTTTGACTGCTCATAGGAAAAAAATTGATGCAAGGGTTGTTCCTGGCATTTTCTTTGGTTTCCAACAGCACACCAAAGGTTATCAGTTCCTTAACTTACAAATAAGATTGATATATCTTGCCATGTGTTGTTTCATGAAAATTACTTTCCATATACTTCTCATTCACACAATAATTTTTATTCTAACTCTCTTTCTTTGCCTATTCCTCACAATTATAGTCATAATTATGATGATATTAATATTTCTAGTAATAATTTTTTTTGCCTACTGCCACTGATACTGATGTTGCTAGTGATATTGTCACCAGTACAAATGACACCACTAGCATCCCAAACACTACTGACCCTCCCCTAACTAACGCCTCCAATGATGATGTCTCTAATATAATTGAGCATGTTGACACCTTAAGCCGTTCCACTCGGCCCAAATGTCTTCCTACATATTCCAAACTAATAACATCACTATATATCCTATTACTAATTTTCTTTCTTATGACAGGCTATCCTCTGATTTCAGGCACACGATCTTCTTCATTTCATCTACCACTAAACCTCGCACCTACAAGGAAGCATCTAAAATACCTCAGTGGACTCAAGCTATGCATGATGAACTCCACGCCTTAGCAAACAATAACTAATACTACAAGGAAGCATATACTATCTTGTTAACCTTTGCAATCTTCTAAGACAATTAATATAACAACTTGCAACTGTCCATATTTAAGTTTATCAACAAAATCTCCTCGTAAACTTGAATGCTTATTTTGTATTTCATCCTTCTTTCCTACATTATGACTTTGTCATATGCATCCCACACCGAGTTTGCTCCTTTCATTAATAGTCATGTTATTCAATTTAGCAGACTTGTAATTTGCTTTCATTGTGGTCAACTTGTTTTTTGTTTTGGTTGACTTCTTCTTAACCTTAGTTGACTTGTTACATTAACATCCCATTTAAATAGTATTAATATTATAAGGGAACTATTACATAATCAATAAAGTAGAACAGTTAACAAGTAGTAAATACAAAATTTCATTACAATCATTAATACCTAACTATAAAATCAACTTTATATACAAACTCCTAAACCAAAATTATATACAAAACAACTATTCTAAAAAGAACTAAACTTCTGCCATATCACCATCCAAAGCTTGCTTAATCGTGACATCGTCACCTTCTGCTTACACCCACCAGATGATCATAGCGAAGACCACAAAACACAAAAACATACAACAAAACACAAACAAAAAGGGTAAGCTAGTGCAAACAAAATTATCCTATAATAATGAATACATCAACACCAATCATAATTTCCAAGTCAAAATACTCACACATGCTATACATTTAATCAACGTAGACTTGACTCATCTGGATACAGTATGAATGTCGAACTATGGTAGTTTATGCACTTGTAGTGATAATACTACTGGCCCATCTCAAGTTGTCACACAAGGTTGGTCCTTTACAATTGTCTTTGGCCAAGGTAAAGCCCCTATGCTAGGATCTCCAACTACTCTCCACATGCGTCATCCCTCTTTACTTAAGAATTAATGATCATTAGAGTTTCAGAATAAACCCCAATACTTAGCTTCATACATTCATACGTATATACAATACTTGAAGCAACCATTAAGAATTTCACTCTAGAAACTCTTTCCAAACCATACTTGGAAACAAACATAACTTCATGCATAAAATCTTATAAAATTTTCATTGATATTACTATACAATCTTTACATTATCATTATATTTTCATCCACAAGAAACAAATAAAGTATAAAACATAAGAAACCAATCTGCATACAGGACACCCCAACAAAAACTAAATTTTAAGTTTTTTTAGAGATAAGCGATTATCACACCTGATAATCGATTATTCTAGAGAGAATTCATGCAAAAATGATTTTTAGACTGCAATAATCGATTATCATATGTGGTAATCGATTATTCCCGAGAACTTTGAAGAAATAATGACCTTCTCACTGGAATAATTGATTATAAAGTGAGATAATCAATTATTCTTGTTAGTTTTTGACAACAAACTAATTTTTCTGATTTTGGTGCACCTTCAACCTGTCTAGTGACAAATTTTGAGATCTTTAACACTAAAGTTGATACGAAAATATATTTATAGATGAAAATAAAGTACCACCTTGCTCATTTGGTAGAAACTAAACCAGACTAATTCAACAACTCAAAGCACTTTAAATCACTTTTACAAATTATAAACCAGAATTTTGTAAACTAAGGTTATGAAACAAGTCACAATAAACCCAATAACAGACCTCAAACCCTCATTTTCATCGCAGACCTTATATTTTAGAATTTCACTAGTAAAACTCAAAAATCATACAAAACTCATCCTATCAGAATATTTTTATATATTCTTCAACATACTACTTGTTAAGATTACTTCTATAAGAATATTTTTATTTTTCTAACATGTCAGATGATATAATTTATTCTACCTAATAGTATTTTTCTGTGTGACAACTAAAAAAAATGCAAATTATCTTTTAGCATAAATATCTTTGCCTGCAATATAAAAAACTTTTTATATGAGAAAATTATTTATTTAATTATTTGACTCAATATATTTATTAAAAAGTACAATTTAACAAAATTTATTAAATCTTATCGTCTTGAAATAGTAAAAAATACATTTACTGTATAAAATATTAACGTATTAACAATAATTATGATAAATGTCATTAGTTTCAACGAAATTGTAAATGAACAATAATAAATACCTTTTGAATAATTTTTGTTGTTTTCTTTTTATTAATATATTTTATAAATTTATAATCTTTATTTATTTTTTTAAAATATAAATTAGGTACTAATATTTATTTTGAGTATATATGAATTATTCTTTATCGCATTTGAGTGGATCTTATTATAGGTGACAGAATATGAGTAAATTGAGGAACTTATTGCGTATTTCTTGAAAAATGGAATATAGGGGCAAAAGACTCACTAGTAAAAAATTGCTTTTTAACTCGGTTTATAGGCTTCGGTTTAGATGAAACCGAAGTCTATCAAAACGTGGTGAGAACTTTGTAGTTTAAACGAAATTATACGTTTCGGTTCAAGAGAAACTAAAGCATATAAGGCATATTACCTCGGTCAATACAAGAAACGCATTTGTTTATTACTAGTGGATAATTACAGACGACAAAGTGTCCTTCGGTAATTTGCGATATGCCGTAATTTATCGACAGATATGAACCTTCGGTATTGTGACCGATGACTTAACCTAAATTTTGGGTATTCTCGCTCATTTGCAATTTCAGCAGTTCCCTTTCCCCAAATTTCTCTCTTCTCTTCCCCCGAAATTGAAATCTAAGGGCAAGTGAGGGTACCCCCAAATTTATCCTCCTTCGTTTGGTTACCTCCCAAATTTATCTTCCTTCGTTTGGTTTCCTTTTGTTTGCGCATCATCGGTCCCTTCCATCTTCTGTTGGCAAAACGGTGTTATGAAGAGCGCGAGCATTTACGGTGGTTGAGCGGGTTCGTGCAATCGAGGAGGGTGCCTCCCTTTTAAGTTCATAATCATTCGCAGAGGGAAACACCTTCGATGGCGACGGCGGCGGAGCCAAAAGCGAAGACCTACTGGTGCCACGAATGCGATATGAGTGTGTCCCTCACGCTCCTTCCCTCGCCTCTCCATTGTCCCCACTGCCATACCTCCTTCCTCGAACTGATGGACTCTCCCTTCTCCCAAAACGAAGCCGAATCACCCCTCTTTGACGTTTTCCAGGACGCGCTCTTACTCCTCTCCTCCAAGCCCCTCTCCGCCAAACCACGCCCTCTCCCCTCTGTCAACGTCACACCCTCACTCCTTTCCGCGCTCGACCCCAACGGCGTCGTTTTCTCCGCTATGTGCAAAGACCAAATTTTCCTCGACGCTGAGGCCAAACAGTTGCCCTGCAAACACCTCTTCCTGCCGATTGCATCAAGTCGTGGCTCAACCTCCACGTGTCGTGCCCGTTGTGCAGGCTACCATCTCTACAAATAAACTCTTTTTCATCTTTCCGCATTTTTACTTTGCTTTCTCTCTCACTACCAAAAAATTGACCCAATTCCACAAAGGGATAAGCTTGGTTCTAGAGTGATATAAATTGCTCCGAATTGGGTTTTCTCTAAGAAAAAAAAAGATGATATTGATGGGTGTGTTCCCTTTTGAGCAAAGTTAGTGAGTTGTAGAGGCGGTGGCAGGGAATCGAAGCATGAGCGCAGAGGAAGATGACTTAGAGGGGAAAAGATTGAAACTTTGCAAAGATAAGGTGTTCAATTGTGGTGTGAAGAATTTCCAGCGCGATCTGGTGGCTGGGGCGTTGATGGGCGGTGTGGGAGTCGCAGATTTAAGGCTTAGGCTTCAATTTCTTCTGTGGCCCTCAATTTCTCTCTCAAGGTTAGGCTTCCTCTTCATTTCCATTTTCTAACTGTTTTCTTTTTGTTTTTCCTCTCTCGTTATGCATAAGAAAGAATCAGATTCCTCCATTAGTTGCGTCCGCTAGTTACTTATTTGTGTCACCTATGTTTGAGGGTTGAATTGATAACGTTAAGTCTGGAGGAATTGCTAGTAGCTATATTTTTAGTTTATCCTGTGCTATTATGATGTGTTTGCTTTTGTGTCAATTTGTCCCTGTGAGCATTTGCAATTAAATACCACTTGAGATTCTGAAAACCACCAAATTAGTCTCAGAATTACTAGAACCCATCAATTTTTAACTACAAAAATATTATTTTTATTGGTGAACTGACAAAAGATTGGCTCAAGGGTTAAAATAACATTTTATTGTTTCCGAGATTAGATTGATTGATTCTTGTAAATTCATGAAATAATTTCGTGTATTAATCAAAGAAAAATTACAGTTTGGGGTAAACAACTTAATGAATAATGAAGTCTTATGTAAAATATGATAAAATGAATTGAGGTATTTGATCATGTTTGGGGACATTGAATATGATCATGTTTGGATAATTTTTTCCAAAAGTATTGATAGGGAAAAATTAAGAATGAAAGAACATTATTATACGATAAAATGTATTTACGTATTAGTTAAAATAACCTTTTAGAGAAAGTTAAAATCATTTACCTTCTTCTTACTGTTGATTTTAGATTATGGGATAAACTTATTTCACTTTTGCTTATTTTCATAAACTCTCTCAAAACTTTAAAAAAATCTTGGATTAAATGGAAGCTTAAATAAGCTCAAAATAAGTATAACATCTTTAACCATTTTCTGTTTGCTGCAGGATAGTTAGTAAGTACTAATAATGCCTTATGTGATAATTAAATGGATCTGATCTCTTTGTCACTCTGTTTTATTGATCATATATCTTCTATTGAAAGGGACTAAATTATTGGTTATAAACTAATGGTGCCGTTGTTATGGTATATGATTGCAGGTATACAGTGTATTAAAATAATGTTGAAGTGGTATTAAAATATTGTGTAAAATTTAGCTTTCTTTGTGTGTTATGTATGAATTGATCAAGTGGATGAATCCTTCCCCCTGAACATGTTTTCTGTTTTCGCCTCAGTAGATGATATTTTTGCTGCCAATATTGCTGATAGGGAAGGGGAAATATTTCACCCAGCACCTTTTGATTTTTAAGCTTATTGAGATGCTCTATGTAACAATATTTTTTGTTATTGTGACTGACATTAAGTTAACTATATTAAGTTAACTAATAAATTGCATTTAATTTTATTTAACAATTGTAATTAAATTTTGTTGCAGGTCGTGGCTGTGGCAGGGGTGGATATCGTGGAAGGGGTTGTGGCTTTAGATCAAATAGACCAATCCAAGCAGCTGAGGGCATTAGGGCATTTTCTTCTTACATTTTTATGTAGATGTTTAGTTTTGAGATTGCTGCCACATAAGGCACCCTTTGTTTTAGACCTTAGTCAGTTGTACTTCTATTTTTGGCCCTGAATCTCATTCTTTAATTTTTATTTTATAAAGAAGTGTTTAAATTCATGCATTTTCCTTCTCTGATATATTTTTTCTTGTCTTTTAAAAAATATAATGTTCCAACGGTGTGTGTTTTGATTTACCTGGACGATTTTCTTAGTTTGCCTTTGTCCTTTGGTCGTTACCGAAGGCTTTTTCCCTTCGGTAATTACCGAAGGGCGGAAGCCCTCGGTAAATGTTAGCGACAAGGGATTTACCGATGGCTCTTTGGTCGTCGATAAGCCATCTGTAATTACCTTTTACCGACGGTTTTGGGCTGTTTCCGAGGACTCCTGGCCTTCGGTGATGCCCTTCTTTTTTGTAGTGGGTTGATACTACAACTGATGCCTAAAAGCACACCTGTCCACCTGACAGAGCTGAAATTTGAAGTTTACGTAGAGCCTATGGCTTTGGTTCATTTAGAACCGGTGCAAAACAGTGTTTATACCTCGGTTGGTACTACAACCGATGCCTAAAAGCCCACCTATCCACCTAACAGGTCTGAAATTTGAAGTCTGCGTAGAGCCTATGGCTTCGGTTCATTCAGAACCGGTGCGAAACTATGTTTATGCCTCAGTTTAGGCGGGAACCGAGGCGTATAACCATTTCATATTTTTTTATATTCTTTTCTGAGGACTATACGCCTCAGTGGAGAGTAGAACCGAGGCATATATGTGTGTATTACTTCGGCTGAGCGTAGAACCGAGGTAGTATTGCTTACCTCTTAACCCCGCTGCGTCAAAAAAACTTAACCTATAGTGTTTCATTTCAATCTTCCTCGAGAAACAACTGTTCTTCCTCTCTCGCGCAAAAGACTTTTTCACCATTGTTCTCGCTCTCGCTCCCTCGCTTCTAGTTTAGTGGGTGCCTTCATTGCTCGCGCTTTGTCCGCCATTGTCGTTCTTCCATTGCTCGCGTTTAGTTGGTGCCTCCCTCGCATCGGTGCCGCCATTCTCGCACTTGGTGGGAAGCCTCGGCCTCCATTTCGTCACTGCACCAGCCCATGTTGTCCGCTGCACCGCCCTTGGTGAACCGCCCCGTGGTTGCACCGCCCTTGCTACTCCGCCTCCGCTGCACGGTGCCCCGCTGCTCCGCCCCCTTCCTCCATGGCGTTCATTTTTGTCGTGTCGTCTTCTTCTTCCTGGTAAGTTTTTTAATTATAATTTGTGCTATATAATTTGTATTAATTGGTTTATATAATATTTAGGTTTGTATAATTTTGAATTAGGTTTATATAATTTTGAATTGTTAGGATTGAATTGGATGATGATGAAACTTGATATATAATTTTGAATTAGAGTATAGAAATTAAGGAATATAATTTTGAATTGTTTGGATTAAATTGGTTGATTTGGTAATGAAATAAATTTGAAGGTTAGAAATCATGAAACTAACTAATGTGTTGTTTGTTTTTGTCTAGATATTATATTGTTGTGCTGAGGTTTTATACACGGACATTCTCGATAGTTGATCGGCTTTCACGCTCCCAGGTTCTTATTCTTAAAATTTTCCTTTTAATATGAACTTGTTTGCTTCAATATATTGTTTGTTTGAATATATTGCATGTTGTATATGTAAGTATTTGTTTGCTTGAATATATATTATTGTTGTGAATTAGCCTTAGTTTCTCGTTTGAGATTCAATACAAAAATGATTTACTATCTCGAGATTTTTTTGAACAAATATACTTTTTACAAATGAAAAGAGAGGAGATGGTAATAATAATTTACAAGTATTGAATTTTGAATTGTCCGGTTGGACAGTTTAAGAAGAGTAATAACTTTTTTTATCAAATTACTTATATCATATTATTTCTTCATTTTAGGTATATCTTTGATGTCAGTAACAAGAAGGGGTTCAATGATGTATATGAGTTCATTGACCCCAATATGACTCATGAAAGAAATAAATTTGATGATATCCAAACATACATCACCACTTGCTTTGATACGGGGAAGGNTCTTTAATTTTTATTTTATAAAGAAGTGTTTAAATTCATGCATTTTCCTTCTCTGATATATTTTTTCTTGTCTTTTAAAAAATATAATGTTCCAACGGTGTGTGTTTTGATTTACCTGGACGATTTTCTTAGTTTGCCTTTGTCCTTTGGTCGTTACCGAAGGCTTTTTCCCTTCGGTAATTACCGAAGGGCGGAAGCCCTCGGTAAATGTTAGCGACAAGGGATTTACCGATGGCTCTTTGGTCGTCGATAAGCCATCTGTAATTACCTTTTACCGACGGTTTTGGGCTGTTTCCGAGGACTCCTGGCCTTCGGTGATGCCCTTCTTTTTTGTAGTGGGTTGATACTACAACTGATGCCTAAAAGCACACCTGTCCACCTGACAGAGCTGAAATTTGAAGTTTACGTAGAGCCTATGGCTTTGGTTCATTTAGAACCGGTGCAAAACAGTGTTTATACCTCGGTTGGTACTACAACCGATGCCTAAAAGCCCACCTATCCACCTAACAGGTCTGAAATTTGAAGTCTGCGTAGAGCCTATGGCTTCGGTTCATTCAGAACCGGTGCGAAACTATGTTTATGCCTCAGTTTAGGCGGGAACCGAGCCGTATAACCATTTCATATTTTTTTATATTCTTTTCTGAGGACTATACGCCTCAGTGGAGAGTAGAACCGAGACATATATGTGTGTATTACTTCGGCTGAGCGTAGAACCGAGGTAGTATTGCTTACCTCTTAACCCCGCTGCGTCAAAAAAACTTAACCTATAGTGTTTCATTTCAATCTTCCTCGAGAAACAACTGTTCTTCCTCTCTCGCGCAAAAGACTTTTTCACCATTGTTCTCGCTCTCGCTCCCTCGCTTCTAGTTTAGTGGGTGCCTTCATTGCTCGCGCTTTGTCCGCCATTGTCGTTCTTCCATTGCTCGCGTTTAGTTGGTGCCTCCCTCGCATCGGTGCCGCCATTCTCGCACTTGGTGGGAAGCCTCGGCCTCCATTTCGTCACTGCACCAGCCCATGTTGTCCGCTGCACCGCCCTTGGTGAACCGCCCCGTGGTTGCACCGCCCTTGCTACTCCGCCTCCGCTGCACGGTGCCCCGCTGCTCCGCCCCCTTCCTCCATGGCGTTCATTTTTGTCGTGTCGTCTTCTTCTTCCTGGTAAGTTTTTTAATTATAATTTGTGCTATATAATTTGTATTAATTGGTTTATATAATATTTAGGTTTGTATAATTTTGAATTAGGTTTATATAATTTTGAATTGTTAGGATTGAATTGGATGATGATGAAACTTGATATATAATTTTGAATTAGAGTATAGAAATTAAGGAATATAATTTTGAATTGTTTGGATTAAATTGGTTGATTTGGTAATGAAATAAATTTGAAGGTTAGAAATCATGAAACTAACTAATGTGTTGTTTGTTTTTGTCTAGATATTATATTGTTGTGCTGAGGTTTTATACACGGACATTCTCGATAGTTGATCGGCTTTCACGCTCCCAGGTTCTTATTCTTAAAATTTTCCTTTTAATATGAACTTGTTTGCTTCAATATATTGTTTGTTTGAATATATTGCATGTTGTATATGTAAGTATTTGTTTGCTTGAATATATATTATTGTTGTGAATTAGCCTTAGTTTCTCGTTTGAGATTCAATACAAAAATGATTTACTATCTCGAGATTTTTTTGAACAAATATACTTTTTACAAATGAAAAGAGAGGAGATGGTAATAATAATTTACAAGTATTGAATTTTGAATTGTCCGGTTGGACAGTTTAAGAAGAGTAATAACTTTTTTTATCAAATTACTTATATCATATTATTTCTTCATTTTAGGTATATCTTTGATGTCAGTAACAAGAAGGGGTTCAATGATGTATATGAGTTCATTGACCCCAATATGACTCATGAAAGAAATAAATTTGATGATATCCAAACATACATCACCACTTGCTTTGATACGGGGAAGGAGATATATTTTCTCCCTTATATACTTGGGTAAGTGAAGTTTGTTAACTTTAAAGTTTCATTTATTAATTTTGGTATATGACAATTAAGTTATTACCAATTTCAGGCGTCATCGGCAGCTATTTGTGATCTCCATACTGGAGAACACTGTTGTCTGGTTTTGTTCATTGCACAAGTCTCCTCCCAGCCCTCTTAGACATGTAGTAGATTGGTAAGAACCTCAATGTTTAAACTTTCTTTGTTATATAAATGTATGCTAAAACATTTTTTTAATACTTCTCTTGCAACATATATGATGTTATCTGAGAGATCTACTGCTACAACTAAAAAGCTTGCATGGGTTTCCCTTAAGGTTTGGTATTTTAGTCCATACTTTGTTACATTTTGTACCATTCCAATGATGTTACTTAAGATTTTCTAATTATGATGATATATTGTAGTGTAATAGACAAACATGGTGATATGAATGTGGTTACTACGTCATGTTTTGGATGATGACCAATATTAGTGCACATTACACAAATGGATAGAAAACGATAATATTTAGGTTTGAATTTTATTTTCTCTAAAGTTTAGATTTCATATACACTAATTGAAATCATTGTGTTTTATGCAGAGATTCAATATGGCTGCTCCAATTCTAGAGAAGTCACTTAAACTCGTGAGAAAAACACTGACTAAATATATAATTCACTTATATAATAGTATGTAGTAGATATTAGGATATATTAAGTTCTAAGTTTATGCTTCTAAGTTGTTTTATGCTTTTGTACATTATTATTAGTTTAATTTTGTAAATTGGATTGATTTATGCTTCAAAGTTGATTTATGATTACATTCGATTGATTTATGCTTTAAGAAGTTGATTTATAATTACATTGAATGTATTTATATTTTAATATAATTTTTATTCAAAACATATGCTTCTAGATTGTTCTAGACTGTTTTGGCTGTAAAATTATATGCAGGTCTGTTTCTGTAGTTGGGACTGTTGCAGAAACAGACCTGTTCTTAAAAACAAAGCAGTGGAATATGCCTCAGTTGTGACCATAAGCGAGGCAGAAAAGCCACTTATGGCATCGGTTCAGGCCCCAACCAAGGCATAAAGGTTTGCGAAAGAAGAAAAAAAAGTAAAAGAAGACCCTATTACCTCGGTTCAGGTTCGAACCGAAGCAGTAGAGTTAGACATACTGTCTTGGTTCAAAGGGAATCAAGGCATAAAGTCCTGCGAAAAAAGAATTAAAAAAAGCCTATTGCTTCTGTTAACTTTGAACCGAGGCAAAATCCTTCACTTTTATGTCTCGGTTCCAAACCGAGACAAAACTGGATATGTCTCGGTTCGGAAACCGCTGCCTATGAAAAAAAAAAAATCGTTGTCGTTTTCCCTAAAATTATTAGAAAGTTTGAATCTTTACAATAACGTAACGAATATGAACGAAAGTGCCTATTTTCTAAAATTACCAATGTATTTCAGGACCTTTAAACATTACGATCTTTAGAATAAAAATGTTATAAAATTTATAATATAATATTAAATAATATCAATAAAATAAAGAGTAATAATAATAATATAGTACCTTATCATAAATAATAAATAATAATGTTTGCGAGTGGCTGAAAATGGTCAAATGGTATGCATAAACACCTCCAACCTACTATACTATCATATAATTCTAGAATGGGAAAAAGACACACACAATGAGTTAAATAATTTATTTTTTATTAAAAGTTTAATTTTAAAATGAATTAATATCGAATTTGACCATTGACGTGCCACTACAACCACTCATTATTTTTTTCTTCATCACTGTGTGTTAGATCTGAAGAATTATTTATTTATGTCATCTGGTAGTTATTATCATTAATTTATGAGAAAAAAAATTATATTTATATTAACTTGTTTTTTAAATGTTTAAAATAAAGAAAATTAAAACAAATTATGCTATAAAAACCATTGAATGAAGGATCTCTCACACACAGACACACAGAACCTTAAAAAATGGAAGAAACAATAGTAATGTTTCCAGCAGCAGGCATAGGGCACATCGTAGGCATGGTTGAACTTGCCAAGCTCATCCAACTTCCCCGTTTCTCCATCACCGTCCTCCTCACCACCGGCTTCTACGACCACCCCTCCATCGACGACTACATCCGCCGAATCTCCGCTCTCCACTCCTCCATCTCCTTCCTCCGCCTCCCTCCCACCACCCCCGCCACCTTTACAACCGCTGTTAGCTTCGGCGCCAAAGGCTTCAGCTTCCTCAAAAGAAACGCCCCCCACGTAGCCACCACCCTCACTCAAATCTCCAAAACCGCCATCGTTAAAGCCTTTGTAATCGACCTCTTCTGCGCCTCCACCATGGAATCAGCCTCTTCAATGGGAATCCCAGTGTACTTCTTCTTCACTTCCGGCGCCGCCATTCTCGCTCTATATTCCTACTTTCCGAAACTCCACCAAGAGTGCAGCGTGTCGTTTAAGGATATGGTCGGGGTCGAACTGCGAGTGCCGGGAAACGCGCCGTTGAAGGCGGTGGAACTGCCGCAACCCATCTTGGACAGGGACGACCTTGCGTACTGGGACATGCTGGACTTTTGCACGCTCCTACCGAAGGCGCGTGGGATTATAGTTAACTCGTTTGAAGAGCTTGAGCCTGCGGCAGTTAACGCCGTCGCGCAGGGCTCGTGTTTCCCAGACGCAACCCATGCGCCTCGTCTTTACTACATCGGACCACTCATCGCGGAGCCCCAACAATCAGGTTGGCTTTCTTTTAGGACAAGGGTTTTAGAGAGAGAAAGAAAGCTGGCAAAATGAAGGAATTCTGATCTTTAGAAAACCCCTTCCTAAGGTCATGGGTCCTTAGCTTATGGGCTGACTGCCTCAACATAAGACCCAATAGCCTTATTATTTTCAGACTCTTACAAAGTGCTTGTCCACATTTATATGACCATTTAACTAACTTTATAACATATTCAACCACGTTTCAAACATTAATTTAACAATTATTTTTCACTCAAATGTCATACATTCTTTTATAATACCTTGTTCTCCAAATATAATTTAATCAAAATTATTATAAAAATTGGGAATCCAAAGTTAATAAACATTTATTTTGAAGTTTAATTAGTTGTCCAAGTTCATATAATCATCATTTAACCACATTTGTAAACTAATTTAACCAACTTGAATAACAATATTTATAAAGCTTTCAATTCCCTATTGCTTTAATGTTTTTTCAGTGATTGAGAGTTTTGGGAACAAAACTTAAATAATCCATGAATAAATTTGGCCACAAGCAATTGAGTTAAATTAGTAAAAATAAATATGTTATAAAAACAACCAATTTGACTTGAAAACAATGTTTATAAACATTTGGTTAGAATAACTGGGTTAAATTATAGAGATATCGAAAACGAAGATAATAATTTATAGACTCTAACATGATGTTAAAAACAATTGCTATTAAGTGTTATATATAACTCACACTTCAAGACTTAACACATTTAATGAGTCAAAGGGTGAATATTAACCATATAATTTAATTAATAGTAACAACTAATTAAAATGAACAAACCCCAATTTACAGATACAAAACACAAATACTTCGAAAATAAAAATATTTTCATTAATTCCTCCCCTAATTTAATAGATTAGTGAAGAGTATTTTTATATATTCGTCGACAAGATTACTTCTACAAGAATATTTTTATTTTTCTAACATGCTTGCAGATATAATTTATTCTACCTAATGGTGTTTTTTATATGATAACTAAAAAAGCAAATTATCTTGCTTTAATAAACAACATTAAGATTGTGGGGCACGTGACACGATAACTTTGCACATCTTAAGCATGTGGTAGAGTTAGGTCCATGCATGGAATTTAGTTATTTTAAGTTTTAAAAAACTAAAATTTAATTAAAATAAACACACATTATGCGAAATTAAGATTAGTTGCACATAATCAAGTCACAAAAGTAGAGTTTGAGTGGATTATTTCTTTTCGTTCCAAATTGGAGTTCATTCAATTAAATTAGTTGCTCATCAACAAGATTAGGGTTTCGTTGGAGGAAGTAGATTGACGACGTGAATTAAAGGAAACACGATTTGCCTCCGATTGATTCTTGTACATGCTTACCGCCACACCACATTCCAAATCGCAAAGTTGCCGCAAGCGGTCACAGAGAACCGCTGCGATTTGCTTAACTTTCATCAAATCTAGAGAATCGCGCAAGCAACCACACCTCGAACCACAAATCGTCATATTTGCGTCTTCACCTATAAACCCAGAAAAATCCCCAACCAAAAACATCAAACTCAAACATCCTCCGTCGTGAACCCTAACGCGTCTCATGATTCGATTCCATGTCCCAATCATCTTCGCACCCAAATCGCGATTCAAAACCTGCAATAAGAAACCACAACCCCGTTCGTGAGTTCATCTTCTTTGCGAGTCGAACCTGCAGGAATGAACCTACAATTTCTTCGAGCCATGAACCTGCAATTTCGCACAATAGGAAAAGCCATGATTAGAACACAAACACCATTACGCTGTCATGTGCCGTTGCAGATGAAAGGGATGAAAATGCACAGGAGCAAGTTTTCCCCAATTCAAAAACCCTAATTTTTGGGTTAGAAAGGGATTTTTGCAATGCAGACACCCACATCGCAAAAGAACAATTTCGATCTACAAAACCCTAATATTGTCGATCAACAACTACTTTAATTAAATGATCCCAATTTTGAACCAAAACCAAAAAGCTCTCAAACTCTAATTTCATTACCTTCGTACAATGAACATAAAATTACCTTCGTACAATGAACATAATGTGTGACAAAATTTTCTAAATAATCTCCCATTTAGCATAAGACCTCTTTTTTAATTAAGTTTTACTTTTTTAAAACTTAAAATAATGCCATTAGGTATTATGCCACGTAATGCGACTTCAATGTCACATGATTAACATTTGCAAATTCAATGTACCATGGATTCAAATGTTAATGTTCTTAGTTCAAATTAACAGCAAAGATGCAATTTACCAAATTTTACATGAATAGGACCTAAGATAAATTAATAAAATATCTATTGGAGACATTTATGTATAAGGACTCAAAAAAAAAATTAACCAATTATTTTTTAGCACCAACTTTAAATATCTTTGCCAGAAAACTTTTTATATGAGAAAATTGTTTATTTAACTATCTACTCAAGTCAATATGTTTATTAAAAAATACAGTTTAACAAAATTTATTAAATCTTATCGTCTTGGAATAATAAAAAATACGTTTACTGTATAAAATATTCACGGACCTGATAAATTTAATTGGTTTTATTATATTATATATTTTATGATATATTATTATTATTACTATTTAAGATAAAATTTTATTTTATTAATATTATTTAATATTACATTATTACCAATTTTATAACATTTTTATTACATAGACCCTCTAATATTTGAAGGTCCTATAAATACATTTTATATTCTTAGAAAATATATTTCATTCATATTTATTCTCTCTTACTTGTAAAAATTCAAATTTTGTAATAATTTAATTATGGTTTTTTACAAATGAATCTCTTTCGGTCTTTAAAAAATATACATTAAGTAACTCAGTTTATTCAGATTCTGTCACCTATAATAAGATCCACACTCAAATTCGATAAAGAGTAATTCATACATACTCAAAATTTATATGAATAAAAAGAAAATAAAGATTATAAATTTATAAAATATATTAATAAAAAGAAAACAGAAAAAATTATTCAAAAGGTATTTATTATTCTTCATTTACAATTTCAAACGGTGCGACCATGTTGCATCTTTGCGAGTGGCTGAAAATGGTCAAATAAGAAAAATGTTTTTTAACAATTATCATGTCATATATCAAATAATTCTAGAATGGAAAAAAACACACACCGAGTTAAATCATTTATTGTTTATTAAAACTTTAATTTTAAAATGAATTAATATCGAATTTGACCATTGACGTGCCAGTACTAACAACTTACTATTTTTTCTGAAGAATTATTTATTTATGTCAACTGATAGTTATTATCATTAATTTACGAGAAAAAGTTATATTCATAATATCTTGTTTTTTAAATGTTTAAAATAAAGAAAATTAAAACAAATTATGCTATAAAAACTCAGCAACACACGATACAACCTTAAAAAATGGAAGAAACAATAGTAATGTTTCCAGCAGCAGGCATAGGGCACATCGTAGGCATGGTTGAACTTGCCAAGCTCATCCAAACGCCCCGTTTCTCCATCATCGTCCTCCTCAACACCGGCTTCCTCNTCACCGTCCTCCTCACCACCGGCTTCTACGACCACCCCTCCATCGACGACTACATCCGCCGAATCTCCGCTCTCCACTCCTCCATCTCCTTCCTCCGCCTCCCTCCCACCACCCCCGCCACCTTTACAACCGCTGTTAGCTTCGGCGCCAAAGGCTTCAGCTTCCTCAAAAGAAACGCCCCCCACGTAGCCACCACCCTCACTCATATCTCCAAAACCGCCATCGTTAAAGCCTTTGTAATCGACCTCTTCTGCGCCTCCACCATGGAATCAGCCTCTTCAATGGGAATCCCAGTGTACTTCTTCTTCACTTCCGGCGCCGCCATTCTCGCTCTATAATCCTACTTTCCGAAACTCCACCAAGAGTGCAGCGTGTCGTTTAAGGATATGGTCGGGGTCGAACTGCGAGTGCCGGGAAACGCGCCGTTGAAGGCGGTGGAACTGCCGCAACCCATCTTGGACAGGGACGACCTTGCGTACTGGGACATGCTGGACTTTTGCACGCTCCTACCGAAGGCGCGTGGGATTATAGTTAACTCGTTTGAAGAGCTTGAGCCTGCGGCAGTTAACGCCGTCGCGCAGGGCTCGTGTTTCCCAGACGCAACCCATGCGCCTCGTCTTTACTACATCGGACCACTCATCGCGGAGCCCCAACAATCAGGTTGGCTTTCTTGCGGTAGTTTACCTTAGTTTTAGTTGACTTTAAGTTGTCATAATTTCATTCGATTTATGCTTAAGCGGTAAATTTGAAGTTAATTATTCTATTTTTTTAACTTACGGGATAAATTATATTTTATTTTTACAAATTTTTGAATAATTACATTTATATATTTAAAAATCATATTTTACTAATAAAATAATATATTTTAAAGAATAATTGAATAATTTATATTTATATATTTAAAAATTATATTTTATTAATCTTGATAAAATATTAAATGAATATCAAATAATTTTGTAAAATTTTTTAAAAAATATAATTTTTCTTTCAATACTAACTTTGGTAATAAAATTATTGAACTAAAAGTTATTGAAAATGGTTGAAAATAGTAGTGAGTTATAAAACTTAACTTTGTCTATATAAAATCAGTAAACATCAACACATATTCAATATACTAGAAAAGTGTAATAATAAACATGTGAGTATATAAATAATAAAACTTATTAAATAATGATATTACTAAGTAATAAAATATGCTGTCATTATATATATATATATATATATATATAAATTGGTATTAGGTATTTGGTTGACAATGTTTTATTAGGATTCGGTCAACGTGGTTTTAACCTTAACTGCTTTGCATATAATTTTATGATAGTTTAATGTCTATTATAATGATTTTACCTATTTTATGATATTAATCACTAAAATCATGGATGATATTCTTTGGCATTTCAAAGTGTAACATTTACACATTAATTCTTAAAACTAACAAAATTGAAGATGAGATGCTAAATATGTTGTCAAACATAAATAATTAACACATTATTTCTTAAACAAATATTAAAGATCTAATTATTAAGATGCATTTTGTTGACCAAATCTCAAATAAGATATTTTAATCATTCCAAAATATAGGAAACATATTTGTTTGTCGTTTAGTTTACTTTTCAAAGAGTGTGGGCAATTTTCACGATTAAAAGATATTTTCATATCTTTCATTATCTAGTGAGATGTGACAAATTTGGAATTAAATATATTCTTAGTTTTTAAATTTGGAAAGTAAAAATGAAATTTTTAATTTTAAATTTTGATATATTTTACTATTTAAATTTTAAAAATATAAATAAACATAATCCTTTTAATATAAAAATATCAATTTTTTTGTGTTAAACTTTATATTTTAGTTTAACTAACATTTAAAGTTTAAGAGGATAAATAGTTTAAATTTATTCTATAACATTGTGTGACAAAAAAACATAACACAGTTAATTAGAAAAATCATATTTATTTATTTATTTAGAAACTATAAGCTTTACTTCTATTAGTTAAATAACTTAATTAATATTTTACTCAAATGCTTTAATATGAAACAAATTCTTAAATAGATTTCATTACTTATTTCACATATTTAAGGGTGTGTTTAGTTCGTTAAAACATAAATGACTACACAACATAAAATTATTTATTATTCCTTTCATTTTTCAAATTGGCCAAAAAATAACATAAGACAAGTAAACGTAAACTACTTTATTTCATTAAGTTAGATGAAAACTTTTTATCTTATTTATAATAAAATGAAAAATCAAAATTTAAGTGTAGTATAAAAGTAAATTGAAAGTTGAGGTTGAAATAAGAACGACAATGTCTTGTTTGGGAGGCAGAATCTAATGTGTTGTCAAGAGCTCTTAGTATGTTTTGGTACAGCATGAATTTCTGTGTGATACAGTGAGTGTGAACTTTTATTGTTTTGGTTTGTACGAAATCAGATGCAGAAGGAAGTGATAGCAAGGAATGTCTGCGATGGCTGGAGGAACAACCGAGCAGAAGCGTGGTGTTTCTGTGTTTTGGAAGCAGGGGATCGTTCTCGGTGTCACAGTTGAAAGAGATAGCGAAAGGGTTAGAGAAGAGTGGGAAGAGATTCTTATGGGTAGTGAAAAGGCCATTAGAAGAGGAGGGAGCAAAGCAGAATAAGGAAGCAGCAAAGCCAGGGGATGCATTCGACTTGGCTTCAGTGTTGCCAGATGGGTTACTAGAGAGGACCAAGGATCGAGGAATGGTGGTGGAGGCCTGGGCACCACAAGTGGAGGTACTGAGTCAAGAGTCGGTGGGGGGGTTTGTGAGTCAATGCGGGTGGAACTCGGTGTTGGAAGGGGTGGTGGCGGGGGTGCCGATGGTTGCATGGCCACTGTACGCAGAGCAGCACGTGAACAGGGAGGTGATGGTGGGAGAGATGAAGGTGGCTGTTGGCGTGAATCAGAGGGTAGAAGATGGGTTTGTGAGTGCAGAGGAAGTAGAGAAGAGAGTGAGGGAAGTGATGGAGACAAAAGAGATCAGAGAGAGAAGCTTCAAGCTCAAACAAATGGCTATGGCTGCTGTTGCACAATTTGGATCTTCCACAACGGCACTTGCAAACTTACTTCATTCGTGGACTTCATTCACTTCATAGTAGTGTTGTAGACTTGGATCGATTTGTGTTGTATTCACCATCTAGAAATTAGGTTTCACACAGCCACTTCAATCAACCAAAATAAAATAAGAAACATTAGTGTTGTATCCAGCCCTATTAAAAGGTAACATTGTTTCCATGGTGATTCTCCAAACACCAGTACTCCATCATTATCTCCAATTGCTTCCTTGATCACACCACCATGAATGCTTCCATCCACCATATCTCCACCTCTCATCTTTCCATCTCTTTCCTCAACCTCCTTCACACCCCACCATCCACCGTCTCCGCCATCGTCAGCTTCGTCACCAAAGTCATGAACTTTATGAATTGCAGCACCCATCATGTAGCCACCACCTTCTCTCAAATCTACAAAACCATCCCTGTAAAAACCTTTATAATCGACTTCTTAATGAAAGTATCTTCTTCAATAGGAATATCAGTCTATTACATTTTCACTTCCGACATCGCCATTCTCGAGCTATTCTCATACTTTCCACAATTCCACAAAGAAAGAGTGTGTTATTTATATGGACAAACAAGTCTTTCTGGATAACCACTTTCTCTGTTATGACTTGTTTTATTTTGTATTGAGTAGTACATGAACTATCTTTATAAGCTCTTTGACATGGTCCTTCAACTACATATATACATTAATTATAACTACTACAATTAATGAACTCGATTCCAAGGTTTAGTCATCACAAGAAGCACTCTTAACCTTTGCAATCTTCTAAAACAATTAATATAATAACTTGAAACTATAATGAGTTAAGTTTATCCAACAAAATCTTCCAATAAACTTAAATGTTTATTTTGTCTTTCATAATTTTTTTCTACATCTCAATTTTGTCATGTGCATCCCACACCGAGCTTGCTTCTTTTATTAATAATTAGGTTATTCACTTTAATCGACTTGTACTTTGCTTTCATTGTGGTCGACTTATTTTTTACTTTGGTTGACTTCTTCTTAACCTTGGTCGACTTGTTTCTAACCGAGTTCTTTAATGTCTTTGTGATCAAATTGTCATTTAATGATTTTTCTCAATAGGTCGAGCTCTTTTTAAGAGATTTGACAATTCCCACATTTTCTTCACACCAAAGTCATTATCATTTTAAGTTGTCACTTCTCAATTTACACCACCTCCAATGCAACTCTAAGACACTTCTCGACATGCAACTGCTCTTGCAAACTTAACACTTCTTGTTCAAATTCTAGGCAATATTTATGCAAAGCCTGCTTTCTTCTCTCTGAGCTTGCCCGAAACTCTATATTGTCTCTAACTTTATTGTTAATATTTTGTTGCAAAATTCCTCTTGCAAGCTCTAACCTTTGGATAACGAGCTCATCTTCGTACATGTTCAAGCTATCTGAGTTGTACAAATGCACCAACCATTAAGCTATCTAAGCTTCACTTTGTCCACTAATTTATTTGAGCTATCTACATGCTCTATTGAGCTATCTAGGCTCCCCCTCACTTTCTCCACAAACACCTGGCACTCCACACTAGTAAAAAGGAGGCTTTTAACGCGCTATATACGCTTCGTTATTAACAACACCGAAGCGTATAAAAACGCGGTGGCTTTCTGAAATATTGAAACATTATATGCCTCGGTTTCCATCACCGTGATGCCTATTCCCTCTACTGCCTTGGTACTACGAGAACCGAATCATAAACTACGTCACCTCAACCAACCCCGTCTGTCCCATCTGCAAAGAGCAGACTTGTTCACAAGCATTTTGCCTCGGTTTTATTCAAACCCGAGGTAGTAGGTACTTTTCTTCCCTCTTCCGCGTTTAAGTTGTAAGCCCGAGACATATAAGTTTAATTTTAAAAATTTTTTAAAGCGTTTAAGGGCACGTTTAAGACCCGAGGCAGTAGCCCTTTTTAGGTTAAATTTCCTTCTTCCTTTCTCTCTCATCGCTTTCTGCTTCAACGTTGGTGCCTTCCTACTGTCGTTGTTGTTGGTGCTTCGTCCAAGGAGTCCACGGTGTCGCCTCCCCCGTCGCTTCTCGTCGCTCCTCCGTTGCGTGCTCGCCCCTCCTTCTGTCGTGTTTCTCTCGCTACGTCAAAGGCCGCGGCCTTGCCACAGTTCGTCCACCACCGGCGCCTCCATTGTCTCGGCGGAAGTCCTTCCTTGCTACGACAATTGGAGTTTTTCTGTGTAGGTGCAAATTCGCGATTAGGGTTTCCATGGTCTAATTTGGGGATTTTCTGCAGGTTTTCATGGACGAGTATGAAAAGGTTGTTGGAGATGAAGGAACTCACGATTTGGCTCACGATGGTGATGGTGGGTTTTGGTGGTTCATGGTGGTTTCTAGGATGAGATTGCTGGTGTGAGTGCGTTTTGGCTTTTATTGTAGGTGGTTGGATGATTGATGGAGGCATTGCGTGAGGAGGATGATGAATTGGGTTCTTGGCTAGGTGTTTTTGCAAGTCTGGAAATTTCTGATGATGAACGAAGAAGATGGTGGTTCGCAAATTGGGTGGCAGGGCGATTCTCGCGAAGGATGAAGGTGGTCTAACGGTGGTGTTTTGGGTGGTCCGATGTGAGAAAGACGGTGGTGTTTGGCAGCGTGTGGTGTTGACAGCGTTGAGAAAGACGGAAGAT